ACAAACACTTTATTCAGAATAAGCATTCAAAGGGGAGATTTTAGTGGAACCTGGAAGGATAAGGGACGTGAGAGGGTGAAGCAGAGACCGCCGACTCAGCCCCTTTCCATCATCCAATGCCATAAATCACATGCACATATTGTTCTCACAAACACAAACTTTAAAAGAGTCAGAAGCAAAAAATTAAACCCAATTGTTCTGGATATAATTTTAAAACATCTAGAAATGTTATTTCTTAAATGTAGCGTAATGATTGGTACTCTACATGGGTTTATGAAGACAACAATCAAGCTGATCAGATTGTCTTCCTTAACATTGGTTAACACGCAAAAAAATCAATGTGACAGATATATTAATACTCATCTAATGAGTTTAATGCTAAAAGCCTTAGAGTGATGTGGAGGGTTTTATTGCCATTCTCACTTGTATGGAAATGTAGAACCTGAAGTCATATTCATAGGCAAGTTAGTCAAGACACTAGATGTCACATTCTATTAGTAAATGGTGACTGAACTGAAAATTTTTGCTTTATGTACTGGGTGTATTTTAATATGTGGACTAATAACTACAGGCTTCTGGACAAGAACAATTTGTGGGGGGTCTCACAGTGAATTGGTAATATTTTCTTATCCAAAGCAGCAACATCAGGAATTTACAGAGGCCTTAAAGGAGAAGGAATCTGCTAGGAAGAATTCACAACAGAGGGCCAGTAGTAGAGGGAAGAATTACACTTTGAGTCTTTAGCTTTCTACTAAAGAGTGTAACATCAGTAAGCAAGGCTAGCTACACTGAGCCGTTTCTAAGAAGGAATAAAACATTCACAAGAGTTAGGCTCTGAGCCAGCAACCTTTGTGGAGCTGAATAGGTTCAGATAACAAATGCTTACCAAATACAAAATTTTTTAATCCTGATCTGGTCTAAAGTGGTCAATTATATATATAGATTTATATAATATAGATTATATATATAATTATATTGTATTATATATATATTATATAATATAGATTTACATAGATTTATCACAAGTTCTAAAGAATAATCCAGTGATGGTGTGCAACATTCATCTTATTCCTGTTAATTGGTGGATTTTTAAATGTGTCTCCAGGGTTTAGGCAGTGGTTCAATTTCTATTGGTTAGAAGAATCAGTGAATTATAGTGAACTAATGTATACAATTACTGCAAATGATTAGACACTCCAGGTTATGACTAGAATAACACTGTAAAGAAATAGATATTACAGATTTGAATTTCACTTCCCTTTACCTATTTAATAAAAACTTGAGCAAAAAATGACTTAACTTTATAAATATGTGATTAAATTTTATAGATTTACAAGTATTCTTATCAATTAACATTCTGTAATGGAAATTAAAGAATTAAATATTTACAGTGTTTAATATTTCCATAGCAAAGAGGATAAATTATTCAACTTGTTATGCTTCACATTTAGATAAGACTGTCACATAAACCGGTTTTAATAAGTTACTGCATGTTTTAGGTGTGTGATAATGATAACACATGCTGTTGTAAATGGGTTGGTCATAAAGGAGTGTTTTTAAAAAGTGAGTATTTTCCCCTTGCCTCATTCAATGTCTCCATTTTCCAGTTGTTTTTATATTTCGTGAGTATCTGCCCATCTCATGCAAACATATTACACTTAGGTAGCATTGTTCTTTTCAAAGGTGAGAAAACACACTCTGTGTATTTTAAACTTAGCAATTAGCATAGACAAATCTGGTTCAAATGTTTAGATAACTTCAGTAGTTTATAATACCTCTATGCCATACATTTTACCCATCCTTCTACTGCTGAACTTTTAGGTTTTCAGTATATTAAAATGAGCCAGCCAGAAATGGTGGCAGCACAGTCTTAATCCCAGCACTCGGCAGGCAGAGGTAAATGAACCTTTGTGAGTTTGAGGCTAGCCTGGTCTACATAGTGAGATCCAGGACAGCCAGGGCTGTATGGAAAGGCTCTGTGTCTTAGTTAGAGTTTCTATTGCTGTGACAAAGCTCCATGACCAAAAGCAAGTTGGGGAGGAAAGGGTTTTATTCAGCTCACTCTTCAGCTCACTCTTCCACTGTTTATCATTGAAGGAAATCAGGACAGGAACTCAGACAGGGCAGGATCATGGAGGCGGGAGCTGATCCAGAGGCAATGAGGAGAGCTGCTTATTGATTTTCTCCCCTAGCTTGCTCAGCCTGCTTTCTTTTAGAACCCGGGACCAGCATCCTAGAGGTGTGTATCACAAATAAAAATCCAGAAATAGATATTTGGGTTCAAGCTGAAGATCAGAAAAGCAAAGCAGTCAAACTACCAGAGAGCTCTTACCTCTACCAAGGGCTGGGGAGATCCTGTCCTCAACGTGACTGGAGACTAATTGCCCTGAGACTGAATGCCAGATGAGACCCTGAGCTCCTTATATACTTCTCTAGTTCTGGAATTAAAGGTGTGAACTCTATTATTGTTTTAGACTGATTCACTGTCCTGTAGCTCTAGGTGGCCTTGAACTCAGAGAGATCCATCTGCCTTTGTCTGCTGAGTCCTGGGATTAAAAGTGTGTGCCACTACTGCCTGGCTTCTATGGCTGTGGCTAGCTTTGCATTCTGATCCTTCAGGCAAGCTTTATTAAATCATAAATACTATATCACCACAGGAATGGTACCACCCACAATGCGCTGGGCCCTCCCACATTAATAACTAATTGAGAAAATGCCCTACAGCTAGATCTTATGGAGACATTTTTCTTTTAGTTGAGGTTCCCTCCTTTCTGATAACTCTATTTTGTGTCAAGTTGACATAAGACTAGGCAGCACACTCTGACTCATAAACTGCCCAGCACACCTCCTTTTACATGTATTTTATACTTGCTATTTGCATTCATAGGATATACCCATAAAGGGGAAACTTACTGATTAAAAGGAATATATAAAATTATCCAACTTTATTTTTTTTTATTTTATTCTTAGGCTTGTGTGACAGCTTTCCCATATGTACACCCTGTGTTTGCAGTGCCTGTGCTAGTCAAATGAATGCAATGGATTCCAGGAACTGGACTTACAGAACAATCTGAGACACTAATTTGGATGCTGGGAATTGAACCCTGGTCTTCTGCAAGAGCAACACGTGTTTTTAAGCACTGTGTCATCTCTCAGCCCCCATCATTATTTTCAGTGAATAGGTATTAAGTAGCATTGACATTGAAAAGAGGGGGAGGGAAGCAAGATAGACTGTAAAGTGTATTCCTTTTATGCTTAAACAGAAAACTTTGGAGCATTTGTTATGATATACATACAAACCCAGACGTTCAAGCTATATAATTGTTAATGAGTATGTGTTTATGTACACTGTGAGTATCTTGATACTAAACAGTCAAATAAGTGTTTAGCCTTTTGTGCTCAGTTCATTAAAATTCTTGTGCTAGGTTCTTTGCAAGGATTTCAATTGGCAAATATCATTACTTGATAGATTTTTTTTTTAAATTTGAAACTGGTATTCTTTACATTATATAGAATACCAGATTATTTTTGTTTTGTTTTTTTCAATATAGGGTTTCTCTATGACGCTCTGACTGTCCTGTAACTCACTTTGTAGGCCAGACTTGAACTCCCAAAAATCTGCCTGCCTCTGGCTCCTGAGTGCAGGGATTAAGGGTGTGTACCACTACCACTCATCAGAAGACCAGATTTCTAAAACATACATGCCTGCAGATGTTCAATTTTTGTGGCTTTTAAAAAACGTAAGTCTTTGAGAATCCAGACAAAAAGTTGGCTGGTAGCAAGACTCATGAGAAATGTTTATGGCTGCCTAGAAACAAAGGCATGCCCTTTTGCAGCAAGCCACTGCCCTTGAGCTCTGAGGGCAGACACTTCTTTGATGTCACCATATATGATATCGGAACATTGTAGAGGTTCATTGCATATGGGTTTGTTTATTTATTTATTATTTATTTATTTAGGTTTTTCAAGATAGGATTTCTCTGGCTTTGGAACCTGTCCTGGAACTAGCTCTTGTAGACCTGGCTGGTCTGGAACTCATAGAGATGCCCCTGCCTCTGCCTCCCTAGTGCTGGGATTACAGGCGTGCTCCCTCCACTGCCTGTCGAGTTGGTTTACTCTTAAACCATGGTTCTTTTGAAAACCTGAAGACAGGTTGCTAACATGAAACTGAATAGTATGGGCTGATTTCTAAATATCTTTTCTACCATTTTGATTTCAGGAACAAAACAAACAACAACAAAAACACAAAAAAGCCCCACCAAAAACCACTGTAACTAGTTCATCGTTTTTTGTCACAGATACGAGTGGAGGTAGGGACATCTCTGACAAACCAGGTAAAATTATCTTAAGGGTCTTAGTTGAGTTTCAAAAACATATATAAGATGCAAACAAGGCCCTTTTCATGTATTTTTAAAATGACCAGTACTGTTTGTGGTTAACTGATGTTCATGACATTTCTGGAGATTTATGTTTGTGTACCTGTCCAAGTTTGTATGTTCTTGCCTACAGGTGCCTGAGAAAGCCAGAAGTGTGTCAGATCCCCTGCAGCTGGAGTGATAGACTGTTGTAAGCCAATTAGTGTGGATGCTGGGAACCCTGTACAGAAGCAGTAAATTGTCTTACTATTGAGCCAGAACCCAGGCCCTTCATAATACTTGTAAAAGTAAAATGTTCCCTTTAAGATGCTGACTGAACTTATACATCGCCTACCGTATTTTGGGAAGTACAGGGCAATTTGAAGCTATGATGTCACTTTGCTTTCACATAGGGCAAGAAGGCTAACACTACAAACAGGAGAGAAGACTGGTAGAAAATCAAAATTCAGTAGGCAAAACCTTGAAAAAATGAAATGTTTGTCATTGACTCACAAAACAAGCTTTCAAAACCTTTAGAAACTTTTGAAATTTATTTCTAAATGTCACAAACTTTTAAAAAGCAACACATTCATACTAAAATACGTGCATGAGCAAAAGTAAAAAATAAGCACAGGAAGACGAAAATTAACATAGTAAAATTTTAATACAGTATTCTGGATACAAGTAGAATAGCACTAGGTAAGGACCGGAGTTACCTCAGCGATCTTTGAATATGGGTTGAGATCATCCAAGGTTTAAGATAGCCACTTCTCATTTTCATCCCTGCTGACCAAAAGCCAAAGTATTCTATTTGGAAACTATAGGACTAACCTTCCACGTGAATCAATTATTTTAAGGTGATCTGTCCTCATTAATGGCAGTTGAGGTAAGTCAAACACAGAAAGCCCTTACAAAGACTAAGAACCAAATGAAAACTTGTCTCTAGTCTTTGCTTTAGGTCATCTTAAATTGAATTTGCTTTTATGTATTTGCTAACATTCATGTACAAATTCTTTTCAGGCCAAAGTTTTAGCTTGGAAACCTTGCCAACTGTATGTCCAACTTCAGAACATTCCCAAGCAGACACTTAACTGTTTACATAGTAAGATGTAAAACTTGTTGAAAGTTTTCTGGTCCCTTAAAATTCAGTAGGGCCACAGGCAATTAACTGGAAGTAGCATTTACTAAATAATATTTGAAAGCCTTAGAGATAATGGATAAAATAACTATATAGGCTCTCATACACAATCTTTCTAATTTCTCACTCTTTAAAAACTGATTACAATTTCTTTCAGGCTTGCTATATGCCACAGATAATGAAAAAGAAACCAACAGAAAATTCAACAAGCTAGAACTATTTACTGTCAGGATATAGTGAGGTGAGGTTCCGGAAGACATACAATACTCTGAGAAAACATTAACAGGTAAGCATGTGTTGAAGGCAGTTTATAAATGAAACATTACAAAGCTTGTAATAATGCATCCAACTTATAAAAAAGAGCGGCTATTGGTCCAATAGTATAGCATCAATACTACTATTATATAACTAAGATTGAAAGCTTCTGTACACACGATCACTTTGCCTCCCAAGTAGCACATGCCTTAGACAGTCTCATTTGTTATCTAACATGCCAATCATAGTTTTGCAAATCTTTACTAGTTTCAGCAGGCTACTATAACCACTTTTATTATTTATGAGACAAATTTAACCAGTTCCAAGAAACAAACTTTCATAATCAGTGAAGAAACTTTCCCCCAAGAGAATGGAAAACTCATTCTAAGGACATGATACAACCCTAACAGAATGAACTATGCCCCTAAAATGCAAAAAAAAAAAAAAAAAAAAAAAAAAAGTAAGAATAGTTGCAAGCTTGGAAAAGCAGTTCTAGAGGAACTAAGTGACTGTGAAGTCAGTAATAACTGCAAGAAAGGCAAAGGTGAATTGTTTTCCTAGTGCAACATCAAACATGTTACTAGATTACTAGAAGCTCTTCTGCCATGTTTACTGATAGTGCATAGTCCCAGACAATAGGGAATAGTCCAAATCACATGGAATCCTAAAAAATTAGAATGATTGGTTTTATTCTGAAAATAGGGGTACAAAACTCAATTATTTCTTTAGTTGCTTAGATGTCCTATCATCGTAAGACAATTTAAACATGGTTGCCTGCAAATTCTTTCTTTGAGGAAGTAGAAGCAATACACTGTTTATACTCTGCTGATCTGTGCGTTTTACCGACTACAGTTAGTAAACAATTAGTCTAGGCATTTATGTGCTACATGAATCTAACCAAACATTAGAAAATGGAAACTACAAATTTTGAGAACTGATTTTTTTTCTTCCATAGCAGGCTTTTAAAATAGAAAGAAGCAAGTGGTCACTTTGACAACCTGAATTGGGGATGTTAAATCTACAAAAGACCCTTAAGACAAGCTGTTCTTAAAAACACAAGTTATTGCTGGGCGTGGTGATACACGCCTTGAATCCCAGAGGGAAAGAGGCAGGTGGATTTCTGTGAGTTCAATGCTAGCCTGGTCTGCATATGAGTTCCAGGACAGCCAGGTCTAGGTAGAAAGACCCTGTCTCAAAAAGAAAAAAACCCAAACCAAAAACTAAACCCACAAATTATATATATATATATATTTTTTTACTAACTTTGGCTTTTTGTCTAATGGAAATTTGCGGCACAATGACCTGAAAGATAACTCCAAGTCACACAGGGCATCTTGCCACTGATTTACAATAGAAATATAACTTCAATGTTTTCAACTATGTGATTTTTTTATTTTTATATTAAAGCTCTAACTAAGTCTCAGTTACTAAACTTTTAAAAAATATAATTTGGATCTGATGAAGAGGACTTATCTGAGCTAAATTACTTCTAATAAGCTTACAGAACAGTAAAGTTCAGAGAACCTAAACATGGTTGACCTTTAACAGAACTGATTTTTTTTCTGACTCCAACAGCTAAGCAGCATCCTGCTTATCTGTACTACAAAAGTCTTGCCCCATTTTCTAACTGTTTAGCATCTAAGTCTTAAAACCTATATCACCAGAGGCAAAGCAATAAAAGTCAAACTAAAACTCATTTCTAGTCTATTTACCTAAAAAAAACTCTTATAAAATCTTATGGAAAAATTAATGTATAGAAAGCAATTTTATTTGCTGTCAGCCAAAAAGTAACTACTAATTCCCTGTTAAAAGAGGAAACTGAACCACAGAGTTATTTAAATGAAAAAAAAAAAAAATCAGTCCTGTAGTCTTTTAATACCAAGGCATAAATCCAAGATGGTATTTAACATGAAAACTATGGTTCAAAATTTGTGTTCATAGTTCGAGACTAAAATCTTATCACTGCAAAATCCCCCATGGCTTTTGGCAAAGACATTAAGAGAGACTTTAGTCTTTTGGTCATTGAAGCTGCTACTAAGTACAAGTCTTTAAAAAGGTGAAGAAGATGGTGAGGAAGTGAAGGTTAGGCAATTATTTCACATACAAATAAAATGTAGTTTGAACAGTTATTTCTCCTAGAGATCGCAAGCTCTAAGATTTCCCGCCTTCCATTCTATTTTGAAGAGAACTTAAACTTCTTTAAGTTCCTGTGATGGGCATAGCCTGGCAGCAGCTTCAATTTTCTAGGCTAGTTCTCAACCCAAACAATTAAGCAACCTCACAAGAAATAATCATACATGGCAACAGGGCTACAATTCAGGGTAGTTAGTTCTTCCATGCACAAACATTTCAGGAGAAAACCCATCAGTTTTAAAGATAACCACCAGGATTCAGATATCCTAATACACTCTACAGCTAAGTTTTGCTTTATATCATCGATGACTAAAATTAGCAATAAGTTTTGCAGTGAGGTTTTTTTTTTCTTTTGCCTGCAACTATATACACATTGCAAAACTACTCTGTATCACATGATTTTAAATGAAATAAATATAAAAATGAACCACACAATCAACACATTAACTTTAATACTCCACATTATTTATCTTGATCACAATGGTCATAACTGCCTTGTCAACAATCTTGTGAGTTGAGGAGCTGATTTTCATTCTCATATCCATCAGGCAGATAGGCTCTCCTCAGCTGGTCTGACTTAGGTATGGATCCTCCGTTCTTCACATGTCGAGACAGGAATGCTCGGACTGCTGGGTGATCAGCCTTCTCCAGGGGGATGTTGGCTTCCAGGCACATTTTCACAAAGTCCTGGATAACACTGACTTTCTCTGTTTGCGCAGTACTGTTGCACTGAAGAGATGCAGTAAGCGGCCTCTGCTTCTTTCTCACATTCTGCTCTTCAAATTCTGCCTTCCTCTTGGTGTGAGTCTTTGATTTGAGGTGGTCACTAATGGCAGACTTGCGAACATGATTCAGAACCACATTGCAAGAAGTGCAGAAGAGTTTTCCCCCATCTTCATGAAGCTCACCTCCAAATTCAGTGACTCGGTCCAGAGGGGTCACATACAGAGCAGTCTTAGAACGGTTCCGAGCAGGTGGGGCTGTTACTACAAAACGTTCCATTTTGACTGAGTAAGGCTCTTCTAAGACAAAAGAAAGATCTAACGTTAGTGCTATGACAATAGCAAATTCTAGAAGTGATTAACAATAAAAGGTAGGGTTGTAAATGCTTTTTTAAGAGTAAAGATTTGAAGAAAACCAATCCCCCAATTCCAAACTTAATTCACTGATCCCTAGCATTCCCCAAAAGTCTTTAATTCAATTTGGTAGGTTGAGGTCTTTTAAATCTGTATCTGAAATATTCAAGGAAGGGAAAGCTAAAACAAATTAGCAGCAAACAGCTAGGTCAATTCCTTGTGGTATATGCCTATGTGCACATCTTAATTTTTTGAATAGCTTCTCTAACTGTACCCAGAACTGGGATTACAGATACATACTGCTGGGACCAGCTTTTACACAGATGCTGGGGATCTGAACTCAGGCCCAAAGACTTGTACAGGAAGTACTACACCTACTTACTACGCTAACTTCCCAACACTCTGGCTTTTATGACAAACTAGATTTCTAAGTAACTTAAATTATTCTAGACATTGCTATCTTTTAAAAAACCCCAATAACAGTAAACAGTTAGACTATTAATAATACTAATATCGTGTAGGGAGACACCATAACCACGCCTCTACAGGTCATTTCGCAATAATATCACCCAAGTTAGATGTGTTCAAGTTAAAGAGCTTTTTGCTAGGAAACGGATTTTGAGACCTCAACTATGTACAAACTTGATAGCAAAACTTGTTTTAAGAGAAAAACAGGTAACAACAAAGAACACAAAGTAAGTACAACTATTTACAATGACATTAAAACTTGAGGCTTATGTGGTTGAAAACAAGTATTTATTTAAGGCAGGGTCTCACTGCCAGGTGGTAATGGCATCTGCTTTTAATCCTAGCACTATGGAAGCAGAGGCAGATGGATCTCTGAGTTTGAGGCCAGCCTGGTCTATAGATACAGAGTTCCAGGACAGCCAGGGCTACAAAGAGAAACCCTGTTTCAAAAAACAAACAAGAAAAACCAGGGTCTGACTCTGTGGACTCAAGAGGATCGACCTATCTTTGCCTCCACCTGAGTGCTTGAGATTATAAGTGTATGACACCATGCCTGGCAAAATAAGTTATTGTTAATACATTTATATCACCAAAGGTGATAATCAAGATAAGCCAATATGTTCTTTAACACTTGGTTTCACTTCCATTGAGAAATAACTTTTATTTCTCTTAACATAATGTCCAGTGTTTGACAGGGAGTCAATCAGAATTTTACAATTCGGTGGCAGAGCAATTGCCCAGCATGAGCTAAGTCCTGGGTTTGACCCCAGCAATGCCAAAAAATCAAAACCAAAATACAACAAAAATTGGAACACAAACAGAAAAAAAAGCCAAAACCAAATCAAACGTACCAAAAAAACCCCTCCTAGTAACCATTTATAAAAATATATAATTGTTGTTTGTTAATTTTGTGAGACAGGGTTTCTCTGTAACTTTGGAGTCCTGTAGTGGAACTCACCCTGTAGACAAGACTGGCCTTGAATTTACAGAGGTCTGCCTGTCTCTGCCTCCTGAGCACTGGGATCAAAGGTGAGCAACATCATTGCCCAGCTCCAAATGTACAGTTTAGAAGCAGCTTAATAACTCACTTTAGCCTAATAACAAACTTTAAAAAAAATCCAAAAATAACCCCCAAAAACCTGTTGTCCAGCCAGGCTGGCTTTCAATGTGAAACCCTCCTGCCTCAGTGTCCTGAGTAGTTGGGGATCACAGATATGTGTCACCATACCTGGCTGCTTTTTACTTCTTACATTTTCAAGCACCTTTATTCTGAGTCATCTCACCAGTCCTACAAACTTAAAATGATTACTGGACTATCAGCTTTATAAAATCACAAGTATTGAAAATCCAAGACAATGAATCAACTTAAAACAACTGATTAGTAAGTTTTACTCCCCTGGGACCATACCTCTGACCTAACTTCTTATAATAAAAATTTAAAGATATAAAATGAACAATAAAATTCAAATGGAATAATTTTCTGTTATAAACGTGTTAGAGAAATATTTCCAAATACGTTCTGAAGAATAATGGAGTATTAGCCTACTTGCTGGGCAACATCAAAATTCTTCCTTTTTTTGTCAGTATGTTAACAAAAATCTATGGACCCAAAGAAGAAGAGTTAGCAATTCAAATTAAATTGAATTAATTAAAAATTCCATAGAGTACAAAAAGTCTAGAATGCACTATCCTTAATTCCTGTCAGATACTGTGTTAGGGTATTGGTTTTCCACGACAGAAAACAGACATGCCAATGAGTCCTGCCTAATATTCAGTGAACTATCAGTGCAAATATTTGCAATTTGTACATGTGTACTATATCTTTGAAACCAACCTGTCTTAGTAACAACTAATGGCTATAAGACAGAAATAAAAAACCCTGAATTCCTTTTCTGGGGTAGCGCTTAGATTTTCTTTTTCCCCTCCGTGGAATTATATTTAAGTACTTGGACTTAAATATAGAACTTAGAAATAATCTGTAATTCTTGTACTAATATGAGGCCTGAACTTTTCTGATCTTTCAACTATAAGTTTTGTTCCAGATGCAAATAGCCACCTCTTAGAGAGGTGATGATGATCTTAGTTACAAGTAAAAGTGTTTTTCCGAAGTCAGAAATATTTTAACCAAATGAGGAAGTTGAGAAGTCAGTCGCAAGAACTAGCTAACAAAAGCAATCTATCAACTAAGGCAAAACTAAACCTCAGAAGTTTTCAAGTCGAAATGTTTACCGGCTTAATTTCCAGTTTTTTTTTTTCCTCTGTCTCTCTCTCTTTCTCTTTCTCTCTCTCTCTCTCTCTCTCTCGTTGATATTATGCAGTGAGGGTTTTCCGGTGCAAAACTAGAGAAGCATCCAATGCTAGCAACTTTCCGTTCGTCCGGACCCGGAGACGCCCTCGGAACGAAATCAGTTTTTCAACAGGTGGTGGTGGGGAAAGAGTTCCTGGGCTTGCACCCCGTTTTCCCTGCGGCGCCGGCAAGTCATGCCTTTACTGGAAAACACAAAAACAAACAGAAAGGAAAGATGGTGGAGGGGCGGGAAAAGGGTAAGCCCGCA